GTGAAAATGCATCACCTCAATCCTTATCAAGAGCTCCTGAAGCCCAAGAGTCCAACGCAGGAATATTTACGAGGGCGCCGCGCTCGACGCGAAAGCCTCAAGGACTAGCGGAAGGAGCAGAGCGTCGAAAAACCGTGTCATGTCTGACATGAAACACTCAAGACAGCGAGATCTCACACCTGGCAAGGGTTCCAAAAAGGCGGTGCGGACTTATGACATAGTTCAAAGATGTTGCCGGGAAAGCTGCGTGCTTCGATCGGCTGCGCAGAGACCTTGCCATGGCTGAGAATTCTTGAGTTATGCAAGTTTCTAATGTCACATGGGGAAGTGCCATTTCACATCGTTACATAGTAGTAGAGGAAGCCACGAGCCTGGCTCCCGTCTCCAGATTCCTTAAGCTCTTGCGCATCCCCTGGGCTGTGTACAGCTGGAATGCAACTGCTGCCCAACACGTGCTCGAACGGCGCTCGTCACGCACCATGTCTGCAAAACGCCCCGTGGCATCGCAATACTCCCGTGCAGCTCTGCGGGACGGGTTTCGTAGAAGCTGCCGAACAGATCTGGAGAAGAACTCCTGATTTTCAAGAGCGTGCTGAAGATGCGCGAACGAATCATCAAGTTGTCAATCCCCGGCCAGTTGATTTGAAGACAAGCAGAAGGAATGGGAAAGAAGTTGCTCTCCGAAAGTGACTGGTGCGTACCCGCTCCGCCCGCTTTCTCTCACAAGTTGGGGTAAATTAAATTAACGTAAGTGTCAGTCCGGACATCACATCTGACTGCCCTTCGGAAGACATGCCGGTATAAACTGCACGCGTTGGAAAGTCCCATCACATCGACGGAACCTTCACGAGGGAAGGGGCCAGTGAAGCAAAAGCTGTACGATCGTTCAGGATCTGGCTCAGTCTGGAGGAAAACATATTGCCGCAAAGAAGCACAGAATACGGTACGAGTGGTTGCTGTGGACAAAATCATCACCGTGGAGGCCCGCCAAGCTTAGGGTACGGTGCTGCTGGACTGAAGTTGAGGCGCCCAAATGTTCTTCGGCAACTGCTCGCGACGCTCCGATCGACCCGAGCGGATACCAGTAGCCAGGGCTGCTGACACCTGGCGGCAGGCAAGAACTTGACGTATATGTGGGTTGCTCTTCCTGTTGCTGCATAAACGTACCTTGAAAATGTAGCGTCCGCTCTTGCTTATGGCATTCTGCTACTGCCATCGTTGCACTCCACAGGTTACTTCCGCTTCTCGTCTAGCCGGGTAAACTGATATGCGGATAAGCCCAAGAGAAACATAGTCCTCCGGGAGAAGTGTATATGTATGTATGTAAGTAAGTAAGTATGTATGTATGTATATAATAAGGATATGTACAACTATATATGTATTTATAAACAAGTTTGTATAAATTCCATCATATAAGTATATGAAACTGTATGTATGTATGTATGTATGTATGTGTGTGTATGTATGTATGTATGTATGTATGTATGTATGTATGTATGCATGTATGTATGTACATATGTACCCTGAACTATACATAACCAATATGTCCGTATGTGAGTATATGTAACTCTACATACACATAGATGCATATCCAGTCATCTGCATGTATGTATGTATGTATGTATGTATGAATGTAGGCATGGGTGCATGTATGTATGTGTGTATGTATGAATGTATGTACCCATGTATGTATGTATGTATGTATGCATGTATGTATGTAGGTATGTATGTATTTATGTATGTAAGTATGTATACATGTATGCACACTTTTTTGTGTGTATATATATATATACAGTATATATACATACATGTGCTGATTTGTTGCTATCTATTTATATTTATATTTCTACACACACACACACGTACATACAAACGTACGTACATAAATACATACAGCACATACAAACATGAATGCATACATACACACATGACATACATACATACATACACACATACATACATACATACATACATACCGACATACATACATACCTACATACATACATCCATCCATCCTGCATGCATGCATACACACACATGCATACATACATACATACATACATACGTACGTACGTACGTACGTACTTACTTAAAACATACATACTTACTTACTTACTACTTACTTACGACTTACTTACTTACTTACTTACTTACTTACTTACACACATACACACATACACAAATACATACATACATACATACATATATACATACAAACATATACACATGCACATGCACATACACATACACATACAAGTACATATACAAGTACATATACTTGTACATATACATATACATATACATAATATACATATACATACTTACTTACTTACTTACTTACTTACACAGAAACATCTCTCGCTCTCTCGCGTTAGTTACGGTATATTCTGAATAGACATGTACTGATCGATTTGACGGACGGAATCCAGCCGAATCCAGCCTATTTACGCAGCAGCATTGGAACATGTCTTACAATGCTTACAAACAGCATCAGGCAACAAACAGTAACACCCAAAAACAGTAAGTACAGCTGTGGTAAGGCACAGCAATCTCAGGACGGAACAATGACAGAAAAGGCAAGCATACGGGTGGGCTTCTCAAACTGCTCTCCAACTGTGAAGGATGTCACGGACGTCCGTGCTGAGATCAGAAAATCCTGCGCCGCAAACTCTTAAGCATATGGACGTAAAAAGCCGACATAAAACCCTTATATGCTGATGACTACACACTCACAAAAGCTCTTCAGAAATTCAGGGAACGAAAACGCAACGTGCTGTGTAACTACACCCTCAACCACTATGAACCCTAACCCACCCACTGTGAAGCCTCTGAGCCCCGAGTCCGTGAACACCGAACTGCACCCTCAACGCCGAAACAAAACCCCCAGGCCCCAAGCCACTAAATGGTACACTGAATCCTCAAACCATTCAGCACTGCAAGCAAAGCCGTTTAACGGAGCCCTAAACGATGCACGACTCCCTACAAAACTACAAAAAGAGCCCTTAAGCCCTCAAAGATCGCGGCGATTAGAGCCCAATGACATGGACATGCCAGATGCCTTGAAAAAGAAGTCCTTCCGGTTCGTACCTCGGGCGGTCCAGCTGCTTCTAGCATTGCTTCCGGTGCCGAACACTGGCACGATGAGAACGGGAGAGGTTCTTTGAGTTGAATTTGTCGGTGAGGTCCGAAGTCATCACTGCATAACGACTTAAAACCCAACTGAGGCTGAGGTGCCCAGGCCAACCTGCGGAAGACCCATGTTCAGAGCGAAGAGGAAGCGAAGCTTCCTGCGCTGCTCCCTGAGATCATCCTCCTTGCTGAGGAAGGATCCATAGTAGCAGATAGTCGCAAGCACTGCACCGAATCATGAGAGCAGCCGTAGTAGTAGTAGTAGTAGTAGTAGCAGCAGCAGTAGTAGCAGTAGTAGCATTGGCAGCAGCAGCAGCAGTAGTAGTACTAGTAGTAGTAGGTGGGTCGTTGGAGAAACTGTAAAGTGCTGACAAAACCCTACTCAACATGGTGGCAGTTTCCAAGATCCCGAAGCCCCTGATGCGAGTTGAGTTGCAGCAAAGACCCCAAAATTCTCAAAGAAGATCCCGAAAAACAAATCCCCAAAAGGAGAACGTGGTTGGGACAAGACCCGCAGCGTCCTAGACCCATCAAAGCGCGTGGTTTCGAAAACCCTAAATCTTCAAAGAGTGACGAGATATCCGCAGGCTAACCGAACAAACCTAGAAGACAGCCACCTCCCAGATTTACTCGTGATTGCAATGCAACAGAACACTTACGTTCCAGCCTTTGTTGGCTTTCCAGAAATCACTCGCCGAACGGGCAGAATGGGCACGCCCCACTGGAAGGCCTCCAGACACCATCACGGGGGCATGCGCAGTGCCATCTGAAGAAGAAATCAACAGTCTAGCGCTCGTCTGCTCGCGCAACGGTCACAAGTTCAAAAGTCTCAAGCAGCAGGACCAACTTGAAAGCGTGAAAAATACACAATAGTCACATAGCAATCTGGCGTTAGTTATGTGCGGCACAGGACACCCAAAGGCAATCTTGCAGCACCGCCGCGTTCTCCACCGAGTCCTCAGGCACCACAACCCGACAAGTTAGCATCTTCCAGCACACCCCCGGCGCACTATCATGCTCGATGCTGCGGGCAATTTGGCTGGAAAACTGCAAAGTTGACAAGGTTAGATCTGGCGAAGGGATGGCATCGGAAAGACAGAGAGGGTGGGAGAGAGATGCAGAGAGGGGGGAACTACAAGCCGAGACGTAAACGGAGAGAAGGATAGTGCCCATGAGAGGGTGAGAGAGGGGGAGAGGGAGGGAGAGAGAGAGAGAGATAGAGAGACCCACCCACAGACACACAAACAAATACACACACACACACACGCACGCACAAACATGCACGCGCACACACACACACACACCCACACACACACACACGCGCGCGCGCACACACACGCACCCGCGCACGCGCGCACGCACTCACGCACGCACGCACGCACGCACGCATGGATAGACGTATGTACGTATGTCTGTGTATATGTCTGTATGTTTGTGTGTATGTATGTATGTATGTATGTATGTATGTATCTGTCTGCATATATATATATATATGTATGTATGTGCGTATGCATGCATGTCTATGTGTGTGTATGTATGTCTATGTCGTATCTGGAGATGTAGGTACTGGTTTCTAAGTACATGTGACTGTGTATGTGCGGGTACATGTGCATGCATATGTGTATTTGTATGTATATATGTATATGTATATATATATATGCATGTGTACTTAAATATGTATGTGCATGCAAATGTCGATGTACATGTGTGTGTGTGTGTGTCAGTGTCAGTATATGAGTGCATGGGGATATGTACATGCCCAAGCGAGTATGCATACATGATAATAAGAATGTACCTATGTATACACACAGCCATGCATCTTTGTTTGTATGTGTGTACGTGCATGCATGCTCAAAGGTTTATACCGAGCCATGGGAGCCAGCGCCTATCTTGCCTCCGTGGATGATGCCACCTTGCAAAGCATCACTGAAGATGTTGATAAGGCGGCGCAGCTGCTGAAGCTTGTAGCAGAGGGGAGGCGCAAACGCGAGCTTGGGCGGAGGCAGTTGAAGATCAATAGCCTCAGTGGCTCACAGTTCCAGCTCGAAATCGATGAAACTGCAACAGTTTTAGATGTTTCCCAGGAGATCGCAGGAATCGTCGGTATCGCGCCGGGAAGGATGCTTGTTTTAACCTCCGGCGGTACTGTCCTTGACGAGTCTAAGCCTTTCCTGCAGCAGCTTCACGGAGATGAGATTACATACAAGGATCAGCAAGTGGGTGCGGGTCAAGCAGCAGTGAGTTTGCTGCGGTCTCTAGCAGGGTGGCCGCGACATCGGTTGTGTGCAGCGGACACGGCCGCCGCCGATGCTATTTCCTCGCTGACCATCGGCAACGAGTTTGGCGTGAGCTTGGATGCAGCCATGCTACCACAGAACCTGCATACACTGACCTTCGGAGACTGCTTCAACGAAAGCCTGACGAACGTAGCCTTGCCAAGCAGTGTACGGACGTTGACCTTTGGTAACAGGTTTAATCAGAGCCTGGCAGGTGGGAGCTTCTGAAGAAGAACAGCATCTGATCCCTGCGACCCAAGGGCCGTAAACCCAAACTCACAGAACCCTGATGCAGGTGTGACTTTGCCAGTCAACCTGCAGACGTTAATCTTCGGTCACGATTTCGATCAAAGTTTGGAAGGTGGGCATGTTGCGCAAATTTACTGGTTGTTGTGGTAGTGTTTGATGTCATTGTTGTCTTCCCTGTTGTCGTTGCTGATTTGTATGATATGCGTGATGACACGGTCGTTGTCGTAGCGGTCGTTAAATTGTTGTCGCTGCTGCCAGCAGCTGCGACGACGACGCGACGACGACGACGGCGATTACGACTACGAGTAATAACAATACTCGACGACGCCGACGACCACAACCACTAATTACCACCGCCACCACCACCACCACCACGACCACTACCACTGCCAATGTCACTGCCAATGCCACTGCCACTATGACTATCACTACCACTACCAACACTACCACTACCACTACCACTACGACTACTACTACTATGACTACTACTACGACTACTACTCCTACTCCTATTCCTACGTACTCCTACTCACACTCCAACTCCTACTCCTACGCCGGCTCCTGCAACAACAACAACAACCACAGCAACCACAACAACTACTACGTCGCTGCTGCTGCTGCTGCTGCTACTACTACTACTACTACTGCTACTATTACCAGTACTACGACAGCAGTACTACAACACTGCTGCTGTTGCTGCTACTATGTTACCATTACCATAACACGGCAACATCCACAACCACAATCAATACCACTACCACTACTACTACCACTACCACTACCACCACCATGTGCACAACCACCACCACCACCGCCACCCCCAC